TTTCTTGACCTGCCCATGTGGAACTCTGAACCCCACACATGGGTATGAATCCTGAGCCTGTTATGGTACAAGAGTTTGGGTTTGAGGTTTTTGGAAGTCTTTCAAGAACAGAAAATTGCTTTAAAACCACATTATAAGGATGAACTTTGTGAAATTCAGCACTTAGATTAGGAAACAGTAGAATTAGCACAGTCCATTTGAGCTACCACTTTGTAATGGTTGTCTGCAGCTCTCCTCCTTCCAGAAGGTTGCTCAAAAATACATCTTTTTTCCAAAAGACGACCAACAAGGAGTTGAACGCACTGATTCTTATTATACTTCATTATCATCTCTCCCTTAATTTTCTCTTCTTGTCAGATGCAGTGTGTACCTGCTATTAAACAGCAGCATGGTTTAGGAAAACAAAATTAATGGTTGTCTGATTACACCAAATTGGACCTTACTGTTACTTCTTATAAAGCTCCTTTCAATAGATTAGGCAACATAGACCTATTTGCCTGAAGTTTGTGCCTCAAAGTTGTTACGTTTCTTTATAAACATAGAAGTGGGGAAGTACATCTCTTTCAAGCAGTGTTTACCCTGAGCTGAGGTCTCTGTGGACCAAAAGACAGGGCATGTGTGGTGTGAGGAGCACACGTGTATGACTCCTGCTGACTTGCCATGCACGCAGGCTTGCAGGGGCAGGGTGAGACCTGGCAGGGGACACACAAGAAAAAACAGATTTGCACATGGAATTCTGCCCCAGCTCCTGCTTCCTTGTCCATGCAGTGATTGTGACGGCAGGTTGTTTGTTACAGGACCCTTCATCAACCCACGTCCAGGGTCTCCCTACACCAGGATCTACAGATTCTGTCTGGATCACTTGGAAGGCCACAATTAAAAAGAACTTTTACAGCTGCCCTTCCTTCCATATGCAAATTTATTCTTGAATGAGTTTATTGTGCTGGCAACCCTTAAGAAGCTACACCCTTCAAAGCTCTTGAAACACAAGCAACTTCATAAGCAAGCCATCAAAAGCCTGCACCACCTTGTTGCGCACAATTCGCTTGGCACGTGCGCTTCAGTCAGCTTTTTGAAATATCCTTGAGCAGTGTTTCAAGTGAAAAGACCGTGTCTGGCACTGAATCAGATTTTCTACTCACTGCCTTGAAACACACTTGACAGGTACTGTGTCCTGCTAAGAGTCACCACGGGGCTGAAAGCCCAAGAGGCTTCACTGTATGCAGTGAATTTCCTTTATTTGTTCTTTAAGGATGCATCAGAAACACACTCAGAATACAAGTGATTCTCAGGTTACTCTATAAGGCCTCCAGAATGGGCCATACCATTGAAAAGCAGTCAACGAAAAATGGCCCAACCCTCCTTAAGCAGGGGCCAAGTCTAAAGAAGCTGCATAGAATCATGTGAGAGAGATACTGCAGTGAATTCAGATAAACCACTTGTCGCTGCTGTCTCTCAGTATATGGCAATACTGAATGACAAGAAATATTCACCCATTGGCAAATGAGGGGGACAAGAAGTTTGAATCATTTGAACATGGCAGCAACCTTAGAAATACAAATTTTAGCATGATGTGAATTGTAAGCACGTGACAGAAGGAACAAAAATTGACTCTTCCTTCTGCTTGATCCAAGTCACTAGTCAAGATCAATGGAAGTCGGACATGAAATATGTAGAATATTTATGGAATTAATGCTGCAGGTTGTACATGCACATACAACTCGGTTAAGGGTACATAATGCCTAGAATTAGACTCAAGGGACAAGACTGTTTTACATATCTGTAAACAATAAAGCTTGAATTCCTGTTATCATTTACCATATTTTTCATAAGTGAGAAAGGCAAAAGGATTTTTTGCAAAGCACACTTTCCATTGCTGCTGTTTTCAGTATGAAGGGTGGAGACTTCTAAAGACACAATAACCATCACGGTGCAATCACTACCAAGGACTAACTCTGTGAACTAATCCATTAAATAAAAGCTACGGGGAGCATTTCCCAAAACAACACCCTGCAATGCATACACGCAATGCAAACAAAAACTGAAACATGTGAAATTGCCTCTGGCATGCCCAAGATGTAAAGGCATCTGGGGACACGGGCAAAGTCAGAAAGCAGCAGTACAGTCAGCAGCAGAAGTCCAGCGCCAACACGAAGCCTCCCCTGGTGGCAAGAAAACCCAGGCCTGTTAGCACAAGCCTCCCTTGCACAGCAGCTGCCGCCGTGTCAGCACTGGCAGGGGAAAAGGAAGAAGCTGTAAGGCTACATGGGCACCTTTTAATTTGCACTTCTGAAAATCATGGCATTTCCAATAAAAGCTGCTTTTGAATCTCCATTTATTTTTACAACTCATTTTGTTTCACAGCACTTTCCATCTCCTATTGCTAACTCTTGAAAGAAGCCTTTTCGAGACCAATTTCACCTGTTAGAATTCTGTATGTTAAAATGGAATTTCTTGTCTATTCTTTCTTTTGAAAGACTTCAAAGTGATTTGCAGCAATCATCATAAATGGATTCCATTGACAGAGTTTAACAAAGCAATCTAGAGAAGATTCATTGGCAAATGTTCCAGCTGTAAACTGAAAGGTGATCAGAGTTTTTCCTCTGTCTGCTCTTGAAAAGTATTTTTTAGAAGCAAAAACTATTCCAAAAGCTTCTAGTAGTAGTGAAAAGCTTAGAAATGCACAGCCTAACTTTCTAAATAACACTCTTCAACAGCAAACAAACACGAAGAAAGGGTAAGGGGGCAAGCACCAAGATGAGTAACAACCAACTCCATTGCCCTTCTCCAGACAAACCTCACAAACATAGTTGCCTAACCTTTCTCAAATGGAAGAGATTTACTTAAAACATCACTATATCACTTCATGTGAAAAATGAGGGGTTTTTTTCTCCTTATTTCCCTGGTGTTACTTCCCTTCTCAGTTTGCTCTCCCAAATTACTTTCCCCTGCAGTTCACCTTCTTCATCTGCTCCCAAGAAGAGATCCTGGTTAGAGAGTCCCTGCTGTGTTCATCAGCAAGGTCAATGCTGACCAAGCCTGACAAACCTCTTAAACCTTCTTCTACAAGTTCAAGTTGATTAAACTGGCTAACTGATTATCAGTATCAGTAAAGCACTACATATCCCCATTTGATATATTGATTCTTAAAGTTTGAGATTTTAATGCATCAGAGCATGAGAAGTTTGCTGCCATCTAAGCCTCCAGAGTTGTTGTGCCAACTGCAACACAGGCACTAACATCAGCAAAAGATTTATTACCCTGATGATGCAGCTTGGATGTTAGAGCAACTACGTGCAGGGTCCTTGCTTTAAATCCCAGGAACACTCAAAACACTCAAATCAAAATAATTTGCTTTCACTCAACACTGCAGCTACTTCAGTTAAAATCTACTTCAAATATATCTACAGGATAAATGTCTCTATTCTCAACTAGAGCAAAACCATAAAACTGATACTTTTGCAATGCTACTTCAAACTTATCTGCTCATTTACTTTGTGTTTTCCAAATTTACTGGTCTTTTCTCTCTTCTTTTGTGACTCCAATTTGGTGTTACCTGCAAATATAACTAATGTGTTAATCATCTCAGCTTTCAGATCAATTATGTGATAAAACAGCGCTGAAAGCCCTTTACATTTTAGTCTGCCAAAGCCTACTGCACTTCTTGACTAACAAATCAATTTGTAGTGTGTTTTTTTTTTAATCAGGTTTCTGTGAAACTTCTCCAATTTGGTGTTATTCTAGATAGTAATGTTTTTCATATATATAACCTACTTGCAGCTGATAACTTTACTGTATGTTGCAAGCTCTCATTTCTTGGAGACATAAAAGAAAAAAACACTTGAAATGCCAACACAAATGGGAATTAACACAGAAAACTCAGACATCTCTTGTTAATGATAAAACATGTAGATATGAAAGTGTGCACACAAGAATCACTCGCTTACTGAAATACTGCAGAGATTAAAGGATTTATGCAAGGTAATGATTTATACAAAACCATACCATCTCAGCTTAACACATCACACCGTGCTATCAACTTTCAAAACAGCTAATGATTCTAGTCCATCACACTGCTCAATTTTCTGTGTAATTTTTTCCTTTAGAAAGGAAACAGACTCTGTATGTGTGATATCAACCGACTGAGACATTAAACATGTAGTCTGAGAATATTAAGTGTTAAAGTCAAGAAGAATGATTTATAGTTAATGCTTTGAAAATTGACTGGCTTATTTTTTTGTCACTCTTACTGTGGCTTCTGTTATACATTTAAATGATTCAGAAACCTTTTTTTTTTAAATATCAAATATACAATGCAGTACTCACTAAAGCTAATAATGAAAGATTTACAGAAATTTAGCTAATGAAAAATCTTTACACCTTTATTTACGCATTCCTCATTATGTCAGTCGCAGTTTCCACAGAGTTGTAATTTAGAATGAAATGTAAGTAATGTTTTCAAAGTGAAGATTTTATCCAGTACTAGGGCAGTTACCACCACTCCAATCCTGCTTGGCTTTTGTTTGTTTTGTTATTATTTGTAATATGATGAGCTAATAAGAATTGTCAACTGTAACAAATGCCTATTCCGTTTCTGCAATATTGGTTCATTAAAATATTTTAATGAGGAGTTAGTCCTGTCAAAATATTTTTTAAAAGCAAAATATGCATATATTTTTCACATAGACAAGGAACATGCAAGACTTATGAAGACCTGGGAAATTGTTAAAATAACTGCTATTTACCATAATCAAATTCTACATTTAGTAGCACGTTTTTTAATGCAGTTTCACATCTAAGTTTCAGCAGCAATGCATTAATGATAAAACATGCAGCTCTGATGCCCTTGCATACAGCTGGGAATCACTAGCTGCCACGGTCAGTCCCCTGCTTAGTCAAGACTATTGCACATTTGCCCCTGGCTACAGGCACCCCTGCCCGGTAGCTGCCCATTCTGCTCAAAGGGCCAAGCGCGCGGCATCGTCTCCAAGCGCACATACCTCCTCATGCAATCCAGCGCGCGAATGAAGAAGTCCTTGTGAAGCTGGTGCTCGTCCCTCAGGATGGAGCACTGCTCGAGTGTCACCGACATGGATGTCCTGTCTTTGGCACTTTTACAGCAGGTGAAACGGATCCCGTTCAGCTTGCGGCAAACCTGTAACACAGGCAGAAGTCAAAGGATGGCTCTACTCACGCCAGACCTTCTCTATGCACTCATCGACTGTGAGAGTCCCACAGTTTTACAGTTACAGAGGATCTCTACAGAGATGTCTGTGTTTCTGGGAAAAAAAAAAAAAAAAAAAGGGGGGGGGGGAAAAAAAAGGCTATTACAACACAAGAAACCAGACTGGAATCATTAAGCTGCCAACATGCAAGTCTTTGCAGTTAAATCAGTTACTATCTCTGCTGTGCTGTGCACCACAGAAGGAACTTGGAGATTTTTCCAGTTAAAGCAAGAAATGGACAGGGGCCGAATTAAAAGAAATCTTCTATTCTTCGTCTTAGTTAAGCATGTTTAAGTCTTAGTTCTAGCTAAGCATGTTAAGCAAGTTGTTACAATGTCTGCTCTTACTACTGCTTCTACAGCATCCAATTTCCTAAATATGAAAAAGAATTTGTGCTAGCCTGGAATTTAAAATGAAAAGTTCAATAATTTTTTCACTTTGTGAGAAACATCTTTTTCAATGAAAGCTAAACTATCTGAACACCTTAGGAATGTCATAAAATTAAGAAAGACTTTGAAGTCCTGACTCCACAGAGAAGCAGTTCCCCCTGAGCTGTGGATTCAGACACACCTATCTATGTATTTGGTTTATGTGCATTCCTTACTTTCAGCAGCAAAACCATTCAATGCACGGGCCAGAAAAAAAAATGGTGCTTAAACACAAACTGATGCCAGGAAATTCCTGCTTTCCCTGAATGTTTTGACAAAAATATAGGGGAATCAGTAATTTTCTTGGATGGATTGTGGCTTCAGGTCAGCTACGGAGTGGCCAAATCCCAGATCTCAGCTGGGGACACACCACTAAAGGGTTGGCTAGTAAGAATCAGTTTGGAACTGCACAGCACTGCAGGCACAAGCAGATGACCATGCCCACATGCTGGCAAGCTTGTTTTGCATTAAATTCAGTTCAGATGGCTCAATCATTTTTAAGTGGATTAAATGGATACAATCTGCTAAATTAAACAAACGCATTAAAAATCCTTAGTTTCTGATGTATGGAGAAATCTAGGTCAACCCAGTGAGACCGGCTCAGATAAATCCTCAGAATTATTCGGTCAATAAGTTGCAGTAGTTCAAGTAAATAATTAAAATGGGCAAACACAATGATCAGGTGGTCAAGAAATCTAATAAGGGACAATACCAGATCTGTGGTGATATCAGAATATGCAGATGATGATAATTCTCCAGATTTAATTTTATCCTAAATTTGCTCACTTCTTTCCCCAAATATTATTGAAGATAGAGGGGGAAAAGACAACAAGACTATAATTAGAAGCTTAAAAAGTCTCTCACAGGAAGAGAGTTTTAAATGATTAGGATCATGATTAAGTTTAAAGAGGGGATGACAAACACATAAGACAACAAAGACTAGAACAAGGGCAAAATCAATACTCTGTTCATTTTTCTTCATATGAAACATTAGAACAAGGGACCAGCTTAGGAAATAAAATACTTAAAGCTCATGAAATGAAATATTTTTTCTATACTACATAGCTGACGAGATCCACAGATATCACATATGTAGCACCATAAAAAAACCCAACAAATTCAGGATTTTAAGTAGGAATCTAAAAGGAAACATCACTTTATTGATAATGAGGGTATCTGTAACTGCCTTAGATAACACAGAAGAGAGATACTCTCTTGGGCTTTACAGCCTATTATCTCCATCCCATTACATTTAGACTAAGAGACGTTTATGATATTGTCTTGCAACAGGTGACTTGTAAATGCAGATGTATTCCACGTTCTCACAGTCCCATTCCAACATGCACTACACAGGCGTGTGGTGCACACACATGCACAGACATCATATGTGCATCCGCACACACATTGCAATAACCCAGTGATACCCTGGGAATCATGCCTTTCCAATATATAAAAATAACATAATATAGCAGTATGCATCTCAAAGGGTCCAGAAATACTCATTTCAGAAATGCAACTGCAAGTAAGAAAAGAGAAATAAAGAAAATTCAATATAGTGAAGGAAATATTTGAAATAGTTAGAAGTCAAGAGAAGAATTTTTACTCATGAAATTATTTCCTGAAAAGCTGAATGGATGGTAGATGACAATGCTCTATACCCAAAGATTAAAGTTCTGTCATATTCTTTACAGCTTATTTTACAATATCCTACACTGATGTATCTTTTACTTCTTTGAAAAACAATGTTTCACAGTAATTGCAGAACTAGTACTGTGGAAGAAAGCTTCTATTTTTACCCACAACAGATTTGTATTACAATAGCACGTGATAATATTTTTAAAGTGAAAATTAGTATTAAGAATATGTAACATAATTGTTACACTATCATTAATGCAAAGACTTTTCTATGTCATGTGACAATTTTTTTCTTGTCCACAGTGTTAATGATAAGCTATGCAAACTTTTATTATTTCTGTGTCCGTTATTTATTCATCTGGAAGATGAACATTTCCCAAAAGAAAAGGTCTTGCATTTCAATTTCTGTAGATACCCAAGACCCAAATGTTTGCTTACATAAATGGGCATACTTCCTGAGAGGCAACCAAGGTAGTTTTCTGAAACCAAGGCAATTACCTTGCTATATTTCAAATTCCTGGAAAACTAGAGCCCTTTTAACATATGTATATTTTATATATTTGTGCAATGACACATAAAACTGAGAAATACAAAGGAATAATGTGAATAGAGCAATGTAAATGTTACACATTAATATGGTTTTTCTATTTATGCCTCCTCTGTGTCTGTCTTTTTACCTGTTGCCTATCTAGCTGATTTGTGTTGCACCAACTGCCTTTTTGAGCGGCTGCCACGGTGACACTGGCTAGAGAAAAGCATAACAGGCAGTTCACTAAATGGTGCTGTGGTGATGATTTTAGACAGTTATTTACAAAAGGTATTTGAATTACATAGAATTGTAAGAGTCAAACGGGATAACATTAAATAAAACCCGAAACAAGTGATCACTTCTTGCAACGTACCCTGGGGCTTTACAGGCTCTAAATAAAACGGAGAAGCTGTTTTGCGTATCTCCACAGAACGGATTGAGTATCTCCGCAGAACAGATCTCTCTCCACAGGTCTCTCTCGCAGTTGGCATCTCCACAGAACGGATCTGAGCCCCAAATGGCCGAGCGCGCAGTGGCTGCGCAGCACAGGGCCCAGGGCAGTGGGGAAGGGTCCCGCGCGCTCACCGGGGCCTTGCCACCCTGCGCCTGGTGGCCCTGGTGCTTTGCTGGCTTGTTTTGCAGCTTCGTGGCAGCTGACAGTGGGACCAGACACCTGCCAACAGCCCCTTCCTACCCAAATGCTTCCTAGGAATTCTGCAAGGCCCACAAGCTCTTCCTGACAAAACTTGGCCTCAATTAATTCCTCTTCCAGTTTAGTGAGGTGCTCCATGCTGAAGCCAGGTGAACAAAGCTGAGGGAAACAATCCCTTAATTCCATCCAGCTCTTACCAATTAAAAAAGACACTGTAATTTAAATGTAGGAAGAAGAGACTATTCACAAGTGTGATATACAGGCCATCAGAATGGCAAGGCTAGAGGGCTATTTCAGTGATCTACATACTTCTCCCACTGAGCATTCCGAGCACAACCTTAAAAATATATTGTACTTCAAAAATGGAAAGGCATGTGAAAACTAACAGATCATGTAGTGGCATTTAAAATAAGGGAACTTACCATCGCAGCCAGCCACATGATTTCTACATTCTTTCTCTTTTTGGCCTGGATATTTTGATGGAGGTTTTCTAGTAATCCCTTTAAGTCATTTTGTTCTTGAAAATGTGGTAGGCCTGAAAAGAAGAAAACTTGATGAAAAGGTTGTGCAGGCTAAAGGATTTCCTTGTTAAAAAGCTCCTTTGTCTTTTAGATCTTCATTTAGTAATGATCGAATAGAAAAGCACTGACTTTTAAGGATTAAGCACATTAAGTCCAAGCATAGGAACTTTCCCCCCAAGGACTTCCCAAGGAAAATAATAGGTGTCATCTTTTGACTGGAAGGCAAAAGTCAAGTTTTTGTTCCAACTCTGTTCATCAACTGTTACAGACAGTTATAGGAAGTGAGTAGAGAAATACTTGATTGTATAAAAAGCTGTTTTGAGGGGATGATATCTCTATTTTGAAGCCAAAATATTTTGTTTTCTTTTCAAAAGCCAAATCTAACAGAGGATATTGCCCAGTCTGAAATGAATTGGGGCTTTAATTTTCAAAAATAAGGTTTACTCAAAATCCAGTGTAACCTACTTGCTCTGAGTGTGGCAGATAAGCTGAAGCTTTATTAATCATACACATACAAGAGCAATTCAGGCAATTTAACTGGCTCTTCTGTTTTGTGTATACAGAGAAGGTTTCTGTTTTTAGTATTACCTCTGTTGTCATTAATACTGAAAATCAGCAGAAACAGCCCAAAATCTTTTTTTTTTTTCAAATTGACTATTTTTCAACAGAGAAGGTAGAATAACTTTATCAAAAAAAAATTAAAAATTATGATCCAAGAGTTATGTTCAGCTCAGACAGTACACACTAAACTACTGCTACGCCAGTAAAAATATTCTCTTAAACTGATGATGGCTAGAATGATACTTTTGTATATATAGATATAAAAGTTAGACAGACTTCCCTTTTTTATTTCTAAAGAATGCTCTATTTTCTCTGAAACATAATTCATAGTGAGAAGTAATTCAAAAATACACAAAAAACTATACTAAAAATGTGTAAGTTGCTTCAGCCATATGGTATATCATACTGCCCGCAAAATACAGAAAAGTAATTTAAAAACCAGCTATGTAATAACTTTATTAAAGATTTTTATCTGCAAATTATAATTCCTGATTATGTAGTACATAAAAATATACTGTAACCTGTAAGGCTGTTATACTTATCATCCTGCCTCTGTTTCTTTAAAACACAGAGTAAAATGAGCACACTAAAAAGCTGCTTCCAAATTATAAGAACATATCACCAGGCAAATATTTTACTGCTTCAAAGTAGCTTTTCTCCTGCTCACAGGAGGAAAAAAAAAATCAATCATTTTGGAGAGAGATTGTTTTTGTACAGGTAAAGCAAGATTCTCCTAATATATAAGAGAAATACACACGCCAAAATAAGCTCCATCTTGACTAGCTGTGACTGCTTAAATTGCTTGTATCACAAAGCAGTATTAAACTGTCAGATCATCCTCCATAGATTAATAAAAAGGGAGGAAGCCTGGCAGCACAGGACAGACTCGCAGACTTTGTGCTGATGCACTGACTGCTGCCTGTACTGTGATCCCAGCACACAGAGGCCTTATCTATTCACAGGCTTTCGAAACCTTGCACGCATCCCTCAGGTGCCACAACACCTTCCAACATGGACACTGCTGCAGTTGTCTGGCAAGGCCAAGATCACTTGGGTTAATCTGAATTTATGCGCTAACTGCTTAAGCCAAATTCTATCACTCAAGTCGTATATTCTTGCATTCTCACTATCTTCAACTCATCTATAAAAGGAGTACTATTTTGGTGCCTAAAATAGAACTACATTTGGTCAAAATTTGGGTGGGAGTCTCTCTCAAAACACATTGTTATTTACTGCTTTCAGAGTCAGCAGAGTTAGTGACAGAATTGCATATTCATCTAAAATCAGGTGGAAAGCCAATGTCTGCCATATGCAGGTACGTGCAACTAAAGATGTTTAATAATTAGAGTAACGCAAAGGAGGCTAGAACATAACAGACCCTGGGGATGAGCGAGGCGAGGGAGGGGCTAATACCAAAGCATCGGTACCCAGAGGGGAACGGGAAGCCCAAATCTTTGCAAGGGCTTTCACCGACAAAAGCAGAGGCAAAGGAGGCTGCCCAAGGCAGGCACTGGCGGCCGCTCAGCCAGAGGGACGGCACCTCCTTGCAAGTCCTATCTGGCTTTACAAGCACAGCCGCCAACTGAACGCTTTGAACTGGGTCATCTGCTTGGTAGCAGAGATTTGGCACCACAGGAGTCTATGGGGAGAAGTGCCACAAAGGAGCCATCGACGCTGAGTGGCTCGTGCTTGGCTCAAAGCACAGGGCTGCTGCCAGCTTGGCTCCTGCCCTGGACAGAGGATTATCTTCCAAAGGATTTCTGCAGAGAGCAGAGCAAGGAGTCAAAGTTCTCCCCCTTGCTGAGCACCTTGGAAGACCTTCACTTTACTCCAACTCCATACGTGAACAAAGTCACTAGAGGAGGGCTAGAAGGGCACTGGTTTAAAATACCAGGAGAGCAGCTCTATAACAGCATGGAGCAACCAGGCAGCACAACAGAGACAGAAGGTGCTTTGGGTTCTGTAAAAATTGGCACAAAAAGAACTCTGTTCTCAGAGGATGAGAAAATGCAAGGCAGCAGTAATAACCAAGAAGAGACTGTGCAGCTCCCTAATCAGCCTTCTGGGGAGGGCAGTAAAAGGTTAGTTTCTGTTAATGAAAAGGAACAAATACTATCTGCATGAAAATTTCTGCTTTTACACAATCTGTCTATGAGATAGCAGATCTACCTTAGACCTAATCCCAGATGAGGTTACTTTTCCAGTATGAATCCTTGGCAGGATTCCCCTAAATTAATTAGAAACTTATATTAAGTATTTTTCTGTAGAAATATTTAAGGATATGTATTAGGGAAGTTCATGGATGGATGGGCACACTGCCCACCCCTCAGGAATAGGGCACTCACTTCTGTAGGTACCATTAACAAATGAAATTCATCCTGATAGCAAGGCATATACAAGTAATGCAGCAATATATTAGATACGATGACAAGTGCACATAAGGAATAACTTCCCCCAATAGCAAGCATTTTAATGGGTAAGAAAGAAGTTTTAATGATTATTTAAAGTGCAGTTTCTAAGGTGTTCTGTCACAGAACATGCGCTTTAAAAAGGACCTTAACCAAGAGTTTTCACCATGAGGTGTCATACATGTGCAGAAGTCCTGCAGCATGAGAGATCTCTGACATGCTGAGATAGTTACCCAAAGGGAAGGGATAGGGACCAAAGCCCAAGCTATTTAAAACTAAGATGTACACTTGGGAATATAATTCAGACCATAAAATTGCTTTTACAGGATTAGATGAAGCAAAGGGTCTTTTTAATGTTTGCTTTAAACAACAAAACAAACAGAACAGTATGTTTAAGATCCCAAACTTCTATAAAATTTACATATAGGGATGATTTTCATGGAACTGTGCTATTAATAACAATGACATTATGCTGGGCCTCACTGCTGGTATCTGTATCTGCAGTTTGCCATACCTCATTGCATGCTAAAAAATAAGAGCAGAGGGAATGACTGAAGCTTCTGCAAAATCCCATGTTTTTCTGTACAAATATCAGGAGCAGGGACTGTCTTCTAGTAGAGAGTTGAATTATTAAAATGCATATTGCATTAATATTTTAAACAAGCTATTTGGTTGTTCATTAGTGCATTTCCTTCTCACTGGCCCTTCTGCTATGGTCGTGGTCCTGCAACCCCTACTCAATTAATGCAGGCACAAACTACTTATTTTTCATGGGATGGAGGCCTAAATCTAAAATACTCACATCAGTAGCATGCTAATATTAATTTCTTATGATCTTTGGTCTCCCAAACCTTTTAAAAAGTATTACTTATTTCATACTCACAATCAGGAGGCATTTTTTCTGTAAACAGCTTGTAATATTCTTTCAGAAGTTCAAAGTTTTCCTGGTTAATGTTTTCCTGCAAAGTGGTATCTCCAAATCTAAAAGGTAACAGAAACATGATTAAAACAAAACAAACACAAAACACAAACAAAAAAACTAAAACGCAAAGCTAAATAATCCTTCAGAATACTTTATTTGCACAAATAAAGTACTCTGTGCGGAATGTAAAAGATCTTATCAGAGTGCAGTTACAAATCTCACGCACTTTGGAGCTAATTTTGGTGAATAAAGTAATTGCCCATGCATATTTCTTCTCAAAAAAACATATGCACAAAGTGATATTTTTGCAGACCACC